ACCACTTTATATGAGATCAAGAAGTGTTTTAAGTCTATTGTCTAGTCTTTGACTTGATACAAAATAGATATATACAAATACTAAAGATGCAGTGGAGGCTTATATGACTGACGCTGTAACTTAGTTTTACAAAGTGAAGAAATTTGTTCTCCTATTTGATAGTGAGATAGTATCAAATACTCTACCAAACTTGACCTCAGTTGTTCTTCTAAGACGGGTCTCTTATTTGAACTTATATGTGGCAGTTCTGTCCGTACTAACAATGGTGATATTTATTATAGTTCTGGATATTTGTGCAATGGTTTGAGGTTTGAGTTCAGAAAACCATTCAAAATTGTAAGAGTTAAACTTCCATAGATTAATTAAACTTCTACATAGTAAATCCATCCGAATTTCTTTACAGGCTATGATTAAGTGAGACAGAGATAGAATTTCATTTTTCGTTACATCTATAGATGGATTCACGTATTTCAGATATGCCTATAATTTTCTTAAGTTGGAGATTTTGTATTGATTTAGACTTTTTAAAGTGGATTAGAAAATCAAATTGTGTAAGTGAAGACTTTGAAAACTGTTCGAGAGTGTGAATCTCTATCACAAGAGTTCAGTGATCAAGGTAATGAAAGACTAATTCTTATTGGATTGACTATTCCTTAATCACCAACAAGTATATGATCTATTGGGTAGAAGAAATGAGATATTACTGAATGTGATGAGTTTTGAGATAATACAATCCAATTTAAGTGTTTGGTTAAGTGTAACGTGTCACTTAATAGAGTTCTCCTAATGTTAGTACCTTCAGAATATATAAACTTTGGACACATAGATAACCAAATATGGGTTATCTTAAACTCGTAATCGACTATTGAAGTTCTTGATAATGAGTTTAGGAACATCAATTTATTAAAAGCGAGATGTATCTCTAAGATACACATAACAGTCCAAAAAGGCAGTTAAATGAGATTTTGGATTGATATTTGGTCACAAGATGTGACATTTAACATTTTTCCTATGAAGGGAGAAAATTTTAGAGAGTATGATTCTTGATTTCGAGTGTGAGCAAAAAGCTATTTAATGTCAATGATTCTTGATTCAGAGACAAGTGGAGAATTTTGAGGAAAGTGATGGAAATATATAAATGAAGTACATAATTTTAATCTAAATTTAAGATATGGTGAAAGTTTTAATTAGACATTATGTTTATTGAAAACATCGAGGTTCTTGAAAATTAAGTGGAATAATAATGAGTTTATGAACATAAAGCCCATTTTTTGAAAAAATGTTATACTCAATATGAGTTTATTAAGTAAAATAAACTTTTTTTCTTATAAGTGGGATTCACTTCTATACGACCGATGTCAACTGTGATAGTATGTTTAAAATTTAGAGTTATACCAAATAGATCTAAAGACTGTATTTTTATTCTCAATTTAAAAATTGATTAAAGAGATCCACATGTATCTATACATAGATTTCATGTTAAAGGCCTTTAAGTATTGTGGTAACTTTATAGTTACAGCCTAATGTAATCATCTTGACATGGAAGAAGACAAGGATGTGCCATTCATATTGAGTCGGCCATTTTTGGCTACTGGAAAAGCTCTTATAGATATGCAGCCAGGTCAGATGATTCTAAGGCTAGAGGTGGAGCAAGTTTCGTTCAATATTTTCAAGGCTATGAAATATCCTACTAGTTAGATAGTTGTTTCAAGATTGAGGTGGCTGATACAGTAATTCAAGACACCTTTCAGTTGCAGAATCTGTCAGACGCTTATGAGGCTTGTATTGTACATTCTCAACCCACTCACTGACTTTAGTGAGATTGAGGATTGTGCAATATATATGGAGACAAATCCGCCGTATATGTGCCAAAACAGAATATGAGGATATTAAGGTTTACATTGTTGAGTTCGAAACATGTGATGAGGGAAAGTCATACTATTTGGAGAAGGGTAAAGTTAAAATTTGGAGGAAAGTTGGAAATAATAACCCAAATGGTCACTGAACTTTGCAAAAAGTTTTCGTTGGGTCATTGAACTTCAAAAATCATCCAAGTCATCACTGAACTTTGCAAAAGATTTTTACGGGATCAATGAACTTTAAAAATCACCTCATTCATCACTAAACTTTGCAAAAGATTTCCCAAGAGTTACTGAACTTTACAAAAGTTTTCCTAGAAGGTCAGTGAATTAGTGGTGGTGGTGGTGACGGCGACGATGGTGGTGGCTGTGGGAAGAAGAAGTAAGGTGGAAGAGAAATTGGTATTTTTTTATTGCTTTTTATTTTATTTAAATTGGATGATATATTCGTCATTTCCAATCTTTTTATGTGTTTCAATGTTGTACTCTTTATGATGATATACCAAAAAGTAGTGGTTATCAGTCTGTAATGATTAATAATATGATTTCTGGTATAGTTATGAGATTACACCTCTAGTGAATAACATGATTCGAATAGTCCTTGAGAGGAAGGCATTTGTAATTGAGACATTTGGGAAGTATGTAAAGATGTTAACGCCTGAAATCCATTCCATCGGTAGATAGAATTGCTTACGTGCTTTCACTGAAAGAAGCTATTCCTATATCTAATCAATCTGTGATTACTATGGACAATGTCACCATTCAGATTGATGGCGTCCTCTACGTGAAGGTGTGCAATTTTGAGCTGATTTGATTTTTAGTAAATTTGGATAAAAGTTGTTAAAAAATATGATTAAAAATATGTGGTTAAAATTAAATATTGACTTTGATTTAGATTAAAATTCAAACTATAACCTCATCAAACAGAGGCATTGTGGGTCATTAATTGTAATTAGTTTATATTTATTTTAATAAGTGTATATATTTTAAAGGATAATGCTATATGTAGATAATGAATACCTCACAATTTTGAGCTGACTTGATTTGAGGAAAAGGACATTTTCAATAAGAAGATAATGGTGAGATTTTAGTTGTTTACAATTGAATTCTTCATTACAGGTTGTCCAATTAAGGCATTCAATAGGATAAGTTGGACATAGTTTTAATATGGTATCTCATATGTTTACTTAACATAACGACACAACTTTACATTCAGTTTCATTATAGATATGATCTACTATTTGAATGTTTCTTATCTCCAGACACAAGTACAAGAACATTAGATAACACATCCAAAAATTATCAAGTCAAGTATAACTATCGAAAACTATAGAACTATATATTAACGTTGTCCAATACTTACAAATAACCTCATTAGACTTTCTCATTTACTTAGTCAACTTGGATTTTTTTCTTGGTTATATATGAGGACTTTTGCTCATTTTATATTGACCTCCTTAAAAATAGGCGATAGAGGTTTACTCTATCATACAGAAGCCATTGAGTCTCTAAAACCTTCCATCCTAAGATGTATTCACAAAGAAAACTTTAGGAAGATTATCTCTACAACGTTCTATTAAACCTTTATGTTTTCACCAAATGTTTAAGGTACATACCTTCATTTTTCTCTAGTCTAGCCTTTGGATGTGTATGACTAGTCCTTTCGCTCCATGTTTACGTTTGTTCTAAATTGATGAGGAAAATGTAATCCATTTCAGTTAATTATTCTTTTGGTTGAAATTGCAAAGCACACTTTTGTTAATGGATTGGTTTTATGAGATGCTACCAAGTGTCACCTCCTTAATCGTAGGATTGAATGACCTTCTGATAGTTTCCATGGATAAAGCCACTCAAACAAGGTTAGGTAACAGGGTTTGGTGATCAACATTGCGTGTTAGCACTTGATTTGCTTCCTTTTTTTAAACTGTTCAAACAATATTTGACACGTGTCCCCTATTTTTAACCATCCCCAATCCCTGTTCGTGTAGAATGATTGGATTTCCATACATACGCTTGTTTGATTGGTTCTAGGGTTACTTCATTCTTCTTACTTTGGCTTTGGATGCTCTCTCTCTCTCAAAAATTGGATATACTTCATCTTCCAATACTAAATTCGAGTTTATAGTTCTTGAGTGATCTCTAAAAGAGTGTGAGTCCATGAGAGTTATTGTGGTGTTCTTGAGTGAACTTTAAACATATTTGAGAGGTGATTTATGCAATTTTGAGTGATTCCATTCGTGGTGCTCAGAAGTTGTGATTTGGTCAATTTGGATTTGGTTTATTGCAGTGATTTTCTTTTAGTGACAGAAGCTCGAAAAAGGATTAGATGCCTAGTTCTGAACTTCTTGCCTTAGGGCTTATGTTCATTTCTTTACTTTTCTACAATGCAATTTTTACGTTATTTTGTTCAATAAATTAAATCATCTAATAATTGAACATAATCACAACAGTGGTATCCGATCGATTTAATGGTAGTTCTTGGCTTCAAATGTTTGAAGATATGACACTTCTAACTGCCGATTCTATAGTTTGTTGTTATTTCTTGAAACCCTAATAAGGAACTGGTGAGTTCATTTCTGTTTTATAGTTTTATTGTATATATTATATTATTATACCTTGATTCCTTTGTAAACGTGTACATAAGTTCCATTCTATGACTCTCTTGGCAATTCCTTTGTCTAAAAACCCTTCGAGTTGTTTGGAATCTAGGGATTGCCTTAAGTAAAGATTCTGAGAAAGTACTCTGCATATGTTAGTTTCTTTGTATATTGCATACAAATAATAATATGGACTTGTTCTTTGTGATATAGAACTTGTTCAGACTATAATATTGTGAATGAATCACTGTGAAATAATCGCTCTATGCAAACATGGTTTTTTTAATATGTATTTAACTTTCTTTGAAACTGATTAAATATGTTTTCCATTTACACGGTCAATAGGATTCAACATTTATTATTTATGTATCATCTATGCATTTTAGATGAACCATTGCATATAAGCATTATTAACTATTAAGTTTGATTCAAATTTATGAAACAGAAGAATTCTATTAGGAAAAGGACAGTAGAATTCTTATTTGGAAAGGAAAAGTTGCCCTATTGTACTTGGGAGTCTTTTCCTTGTTCCTTTACAAGTAGGAAAGAAACAAAATTTAATTGATATTACTGTACAAGGAAAATGAATTCAGATACAATTAAGAAAATGAATGAGGACTTTTCGGTTAATACCATCCAAAGCTTCAAGTGCAAGCATAGAAAAAGATGATAAGTTTTCAATTCTATGCACGACGGCATCAATATAAATAAATATAGAAAAAGCTCTCTACTTGTTATCCAACTCCTCAATGTCGGGCTGTGGGCACTGGACACTTGAGAGCTTATTTACTCCGATCCCACAACCCTCCAAGAACGCTACTGCCAATCCCATAAAGAGAGCCGATCGTGAAGCCGAACCAATGCCTCGGCGCATCCTGAGGAATCCGAAGGAAGCAGCACTAGCGAGGATGCTATTCCAAGGATCATCCTTTTGCCTTGCATATATCATAGAACTCTCCAACACAGATGAAAGACCACCGAAGATGCCGAAGTTGCTGGCAAAACGGGGGACGTTCATGCGTACGGCTTGTAAGCCCCGGCTGAGGCACTCACCTTTAGGGGAGTTGTACATGCCTTTCAACATGTAAAAAGCCGACCCGCTAACGGTTCCATAGCCAAATAATTCGCCTGTGTCATCCACTAGGTGTTCGAACCATGGTTTGCCACGGTTCATCCTTGATTCTGCATTTAATTAACTCTAATCAATTTGCATATAAATAACTCTACACGAAATTGGTTAATTGCAAAGTTTTATCAAAATGTCAACGAAATTAATCCAAATATAACTCATCGAAAAAGCAAAAAGCAGTGAATTTATTCGATTTAAGGAGTCGTGGGTTGGTGAAATAGATTATTAAGTCTCCCCTTTAACCTAGTGTTCCGATGTCAGAAGAAGGTTTCCCTTTTCTAATAATAATTCAAGCACATAAACAAACTCACGTCAACCTTCAAATTAGAGGCGTAAATTCTTTAAACCCATTAATCAATCACCTAATTTTGTATAGAAATCAAAACTAATTAAACTTACCGGTGGGAGGGATGATAAAGAGCCTGATTTTCTGACACACGGTGATAGAATGGATATTTCCGACTACAATAGAGTTATAAAGAAGATGATGATGCTAATCTTGTAAAGAATTGGAGCCTGGAGAGGGAAGAATTGGACTAGAACGTGTATATGTATTGCTGCGGTTTGATGTGTGTGTATATATATACATATTGTTGTGGTAAAATTTGATTTTCAGTAAATTTGAATAAAGGTTGTTAAAATATACGAGTAAAAATATGGATTTAAAATTAATTATTAACTTTGATTTAGATTAAAATTCGAATTCTAACCCTCATCAAACAGAGGCATTGTGGGTTATTAATTGTAATTAGTTTATATTTATTTTAGTAAGTGTGCATATTTTAAAGGATAATACTATATGTAGATAATGAATGCCACACAATGTCGGGCTTGGAGTTGCCCCTTTCCCCAGTTGTCTGCTTTCTGACGAAATCCTAAAATAGTGAACTAGTTAAGAAGATTGGGGCTGCGACTGCTTTAGAAATAAAAATTAGCAGAAATATGCTAATCATTTGCATCCTATTTCATTGATTTCACTGGTTTGAATTTCAAGCTTTTACAGATTTGTCAGGACCTGTATGAGTTCGTTATTCTGAAAGCTACAGCGAAGAGCTCAAGCAATGACCGACGGCCTGCAAGGAGATGTTCCAACTGATTATCTGAGGAATTTTCTGTATGATCTACACGTGAATATTATCCAATCCTCCACCCCGAGTAGGCCATAAGTTTGCTATGCTTGTGATCAAGGACAAATTTTACAGCCTGCTAAAGCACTTTGTAGGAGATGGAGGGACGATTAATGGCATTGGAATGGATTGCTCAGTCAGCATCCATATGCCTTCTATTTCGCAATTTGAAAAGGTGTGGGAATGATTATGATATCCTACTCAAACTTCAAGGCATCACAAGATACCTCAAGAAAGAGCTCAAATTCAAAGTAAAGACGACGCTTATCCGTTATCCTACAAAAATATACAAATAATTGGTCCGATATCAATATCGAGTGGTTTTATTTCATTGTTTTGTCATATCAGATTCCGAAGGTATTGATATCCGCCCCATGATTCAATTCAAAAATGGTATTATTTATGTTGGAATTGACACGATGAGTCGAACTGCGAACAGAGCCAGCCCTAATAACAATGGGCCCTATGCCAACTTAAAAAATGGGACCCCTATATTTTGAATCTTGTTACAGATAGATTTAATATAATTACAAACAATCGAATACAGAAAACTAAGTCTGAAAATTTGAAGATGAAAATAAAAAAAAAATGTCAAATTTTAACATGCAATACATATCATAAGCAAAGTTTGGCAAACAAAAATACAATGCAAAGGCAAATGGGTATGCTTATTTTTCTAATCATTTTCTCAGTGCAACTATTTCAAATAAATTTGAATATGCATTTGAGTGATTTATGTATAAAATTGGAGAATTTTGACTACGAGAGATAGAGTAACAAAATAATAAAAGGACAATCAAATACAAATGAGATTTTAATTTTATATTAATTCATGAGAAATTAACTTATAAATATGAAGTATGAACACGGACAAAAAATTATTAAATTCAAAATACTTTCAACAAATAACTAAAGTTGCTATTATCATGAGATTAAATTAAAACAATAATAATAATAACTTATGTATTTTGTAATATATGTTATGAAGATAAGAGAGAAAGAAAGAAACATGTAAGACTATAACAATAGGGAGTGAGACCAAACCAATCTATTAAATTGAATCTTAAAAATTTTAGTTCAATGGGAGATAATTATTTCTTTTTGGGTTGAAAAAAAAATTATGGTAGGTGACCGTTGGACATAAAATTAGAAGAGACAAAAAGACATTTTGTTTGGTTAAAAAAAGAAAAGCAATGTTTGGAAGATAAATGGTCAAATTAGTTATAGAGAGTGTAGGTAATGTTTATGATATGTTTATGTGATAAATAAATGTAAGTGATCATTTTTATGTCATTTATATGTTTTTTAAAGGTTTTTGTATTTTAAATTTCTATTAATTTCTTGTGTTTGCATATGATAATGTCATTTTAAAAAATCTCTTAAATACAATTTTCATTTTTCTTCAACCAATCAATTAATCTTACATAATTTGGCGCCCTCACTAAAGTGGGACCTTAGACGATCGCCTACTCCGCCTATAGTCAGGGCTGACACTAATTGTGAATTATATTATAGCAATGAATCAATATCGGAGTCGAGTAGCTGATCAGCAAACCTTAGTTTGTACTTACTTTCTTGGTGACGGAAAAATTCGTCCCTAGCTATCAGTAAAATAAATGATGCTGTCGAGAAGATACAGAGAGTCAATTTTTTTATTAAGTCTATTTGAGAATTCAATGGCCAATGGTAAATAATCTCATATCTCAAGTTGGTCATTACTTTTTTTAGTTAATTAATTAAAACGTCCTTTTCATTGATTATTATATGAACCGGAATACAGAGAGTTGGCTAGGGAGCAGTGAGGAAAGAATGGTAAAAATGTCAATGAACTGGCTGCCTCTTCCAAAGAAAGCACATAAAGGAAGTCATGCCAACAACATTAGTTATCAATGTGGAGGGTGGATAATAGAGTGGCTCAGTCGTTTGGGCAATATCACAATTGCTATATATGCTATAAATACAAACTTCATTTTTTTAGACGAGGTGGTTCGATAGTTAATGGATTTTGTTACTTCCCATTTGCAAAAGCCGTTAAATAGAAGACACGTGGAGCCTCGCTGGACGCCATCGAGGGGCCAACTAAATACAAGAGAAAGCCGAGGCAGTGAGATTATAAATGCTGTTTCCCAGCTAAAGTCTTTGAATCCAGAATCCACTTCTCATCAGACTTAGATTCCATGTTAAATACGGTCAATATCACATTTCTACCATCCGAAAAGTCCTCTACAATATTTATCTTGTCCGAATGACCTGATTGTCCCCCACAATTTGCAGATAAATTACCTTTATCCTGCAACTTGTCGCAATCCGGCTTGATATTTCATTTTCTCTTGCAGTAGAAGCATACATAATTGCTGAAGTTCACCTTCGACCTACCTCTTCGTCATTCACCATGAGTCACAAGAGTTTCCTCATCTCTAGGTGCGGGTCCAACCAGATGCTTCATCTTCTACTTAGAAAATAAAACATCGAGTGTGCCACAACTGTACAAGATCGTGTCTCGAAACGACGAATACGAAGCGGGCAATGAGCACAACAGAATTGAGGTCAAATCCTCTTCATCATACTTTAACTATAACGTTTCCAGATCAACGACGATTTTCTTGAACACGGTCAGATGGTCTTCCAAAGAACTCCCTTTCTGCCATGCAATGAGAATAGAGTCTCTGCTTCAGATGCAACTTGCTGGTCAAACTTTTCGTCATACACAGTTACTCCAATTTCAACCACAGTGCAGCAGTTGTCTTCTTCTTTAAAACATCCTGAAGAATATTGTTAGGCAGATGAAGATGTATCTACAACAGGGCCTTCCGATCCCTTCTTTGCCTTTTATTAGTCCAAGATGTTGGCATTTTGTCAAAATCCAACAAATCATTGTCCAAATTCATCTATGCCAAAACAGCTCTTATCTTTACTTGCCACAAAGAAAACATTGTATTGCAATCAAAGAGGGGAATATCATACTTCATGGCTATCGTCGAAACAAGAAATCTCAAACTCAACCTATAGCAAAACACAACCTGTAGCCTAGCTCTGATATCACTTATTGGAATCGATGAAACCACAGTTGTAACTCTGATACCAATCATTGAGAAAATCAAAAGAGATTAATGGCACAATATGAAAGTATCTATCACACAAACCAAGAACAAGATTTAAAGTAAAGAAAACAAAGAGAAACTGACAGAGGAACTGATGTATTATTAACAATCTATGGAGAGAATACAAAGAACTCAACAATATTGCTTCTACCTAAATTGAATGAGAGGCTCCTATTTATAGCCTACGAGCTCGGCTCGTGAATTCATAAATAATGTGCGCAAACATCGTTTTGTAAATGTAATCGTAACTTAAAAAAATTAAATAAAAAAACTTGAGGTCGTGGGTTTAGCTCAGCTCGTGAGCTCATGAGCTCAAGGGCCAAACCCCGGCCCTTTATAGACGAGCCCAGCTCATAAGCTCGGATACAAGCCACAAGTCGATCTTATTGTTAATGTGACAGTTCGACCCATTGACGCCCTGCATCTTCTCCACCAAGAAACATAAGCTTCCCGATGTAGCTATTAGCCAAAAAAATTTAATTAATTAAAAGCATGCAGTAAAGGGGAAAAAAAGTTCATTTATTTAAAACTGAGTGAAAGAATTCAAATTTGATGTTGGATGACAAGTTCGGTTCTTGTTAGAAAATGGAAAGAAAAAATGCTCCAATAAGTTCATAAAATTCATAAAACTCTATAAATATTTAAATTATAAATAAACAAATTTTGTGATAATAGAAATATGGTGTTTTTTAAGATTGAGTTCGAGATATACCTTTGGACAGAAATTGGGGAAAAATCAATGAAGAGGACTTCTTAATTAAATTTTGTGTTTTTGCATTGAAAGGGATTGTAAATTATAAAATGGATTTTTTTTAGTAGGCCCCTTCTTATTTAAGAATTAGTCTCTAATTTTAATTTTAAAAAATCACTATTTTATAGTGATGTTAAGAGGGATAGCCACTTGTTTGTTTAGCGATCGAGATAAGTTGCGGATGTGAGCCGAACAACATCTTCTTCGTATAAGCCATTTGTCGGCTCGCGTACGAGACGACTCATTATATGTTCAAGTAGAAAAATTATTAGCGAGCCACGAGCCGAGCCAGACTTCGATTGAGCAAGCGAGAACTGATTCAGGCTTGATGACAGAGGAGCCATTTGCTTAGCTCTTCCCATTTAACACTCCCATCTTCTTCTTAGTCAAAATTCCGATACTATCTCACAAAAACTTTACGGTCACGAGTAATACGAGAGTTACTCAAAAGAACCTGAGATAGAAGAAATCCGAGTAAAAAGTTTCATTAATCATTGAACTTGGTAAAATGTCACGTTATAGTCACTCTACTTCGTGATTCTTCTAAATGGTCACTGAACTTACACTCTTCTCTCCATC